TCCCTTTTTTTTTTTTTTTTTTCCCCCCCCCCCTTATTAAGACACCTAGATGAATGCTAGCATTCAGATGGGTTCAAACCATCACGCCCTCTCTGTGTCCCTGTCTGAGCGAGTGAATTGCTGCTGTTTGGCGTTGGTACCACAAGACAAGGAGGTAGGCAGCCTGCAGCTGCTGTATTGATTTCATTAGCTTTCCAGTTATTTTCCCCAAGTGAAGTCAGGATCCTTTAAGGCCAGACCTTCCAGCTATCAGGGGTTTTTTTAATTCTTTAATTGCAGCCACGAAGCAGTGTGTTCAGTATACTGTGTGTAGCAACCCATTTTCTCTGCTGTTTTCAGGTAACCATCACTGTAACTGGTCTGTGCCCTACCAGAACCGCTGCATCCTCTTGCAGTGTGGCCAGCTGAGTGTGTGCCAGAATGCTGGAGAACAAGACATCAGAGATCTGCTTGGAGGTAATGCCACGCTTCAGGCTCCTGCTAAATCCAGGATCCTGGTCCTTTTGCTTTAAATGCCTACATTTAGCCCTTGACTGGCTCTCAGCTGAGGGAGATGGGTTGTCAAGGATATTGGTTGGGTTGTACAGGATGATTCTCTAGGTAAAGTTGGTTCACTGGAAGAACCGTTCCACCAGCCTGGTAAGGGCTCTGGCACTGACGTGTGCGTGATGTGTCTTTAGGTGACTTTTGTGTCTCTTGCTGATTAATGGTTTGTTTCCACGTTGAAGACACCATTCATTCAAGGCATTTGCACTCCACATGCTGTCCTTTGGAAAGAAAGGCATTAATAGCTGTATTTATTTTTTTTTTAAGAGAAAGGAAAGTGTCTTGGCATTGTTTTTTCTGAGATTGCCAGGATTTTGTGCCAGAGGCAGGGGGCTGCTTCTATAATCAGAGCAGCCTTAGCAGCAATCGCTCACGGTGACTTTCCAGTGCCAAGGTCTTCAATTTTAATTAAGTGACACAAAACCAAAATGGAGCTTGTTGGTAATTGGGCAATCAGTCTTCTAAAGTATGTTCCAAGAGTTTGCTGTACCCAAGTTTACAAAAAAAGGAAATTTGTTCATGGTTCTGCTGGGTTGGCAAAGGTTTCTCTGCAGCGTAGCAACCAGACCTTTGATAAGCAGTTGGGATTTATATCACTATAAATCTAGATCACTAGTTGTGAGGGAAATTCTCCCAAAGTATGAAGGTGTAAGTGGAAAATTCCACTCAGTTTTGATAGGTGAAAATTATGAATCGAAGCCTACTGTGTAACTTTGAAAGCATGAGCCTTCTTCTCAGGAGCAGGCATTTGTAACATTGCTTCTGTTGATAACATGCTCCTGCATCGTAGCTCTGTACTTAATTTCCTCCCCTTTTGTGGAATTAATTCCCTGGCTGGGCAAATGCCAAAGGTCTGTGGCAAAAAAACCCAACCAAACAACAAAGCCCCCCCCAAAACCCCAAAGGGATTATGTGCAGTAAAGGCAGGGGTTTGAATTTTCATGTTCTTTCTGACTTCAGGACGGATTTATTCCAGCTGTGCTACAGGTACTGCAGAATACATGTTCTGGTTTGCATGTTGGGGGTATGAGGTCAGATTTGAGCTTGAGATTTTTATTCTATGAAACTCACTGGTTTTGTCTTTTTGAAGAAATTGTCAGTGGGAAAAGGGAAACAGTCCTGTTTCACCACCAAAACTATCCACAAAAAAAGGAGAGGATGGTGAATGCACGGGTTGACCGACACAATGTGGAAAACCTGTTTTCCTCAACTGCTCGGACACACAAGATTCACTTGAGGCATTTGCTTGTGCTTGGAAGTGAAGATGTAACAACAAATGCAAGAAAAACAATTGCAACCAAGGCTATGCCCACCATGGTGACGCCCACCATGGTGACGCCCACCATGGTGACGCCCACCATGGTGACGCCCACCACGGTGACCCCCGCCACTGCCACAGCTGTAACAAGGAACGTTACAAACGTGACTGTCCTCACTGCAGCTTATGAACCAACTGCCAAAGCATCAAATAGTCCTGGAGGTTCTGGTCTCCTTGCTGAAGCCATATCATCCAATGCCTCTTCTCCCAATTCTAGTAACATCTCTGCTTCCGCTTCCAGCCATGTCACCAAGCTTGCGACTACCACCAAAAAATCAGGAAATAGCAGCTCTGTTTCAGTATTGTCCCCCACTTCTGCTCCCCTCGCTGTCATTTCTGAAGTGAGTACTCAAATGCCTCAAACAGAGCAGTTTCACCCAGCCACGGCCACCACCAGCACTCCCTACTCCATTAGCCCCTCCACTACTGGAGCTGGCCCGGAGATGCTGAGCCCAACATCGACCACCCTCATCCCACAGGCTGCAGGAACATCTCCCACTGCTTCCACTCGTGCCACAGCACTTGCCCCCTCGGAGAGTTCACACTCTGCAAATCAGCAGCCTGCTGTTACACCAGAAGCAAGTACAGCAAATAAATCAACTTCTCTTCTGGGCTCTACAAGAGGCGCCATGGTTTTAACTACTGCCTCTACAGCAGCAACTACGACTGGGCATGGGATAAAGTCAACGTCTCACATTTTTTCGACAACCACGGCTCCAGCAGATGCACCCAAAACAACAGCTTTGGGCCTTGAAGAAACTCGGGACACGGACAATGAGTATCTTCTCATTGCTGCTGAGCCCCTGACTCAGTACTTGGTAGATAAAAGTTTGCTTCTTGCAGTGCTTTTAGTCGGTACGTTTTTTTTCATAACTGTTATAGTTCTTTTCCTTATGCAGGCCTACGAAAGCTACAAGAAGAAGGATTACACACAAGTGGATTACCTGATCAACGGAATGTACGTGGACTCGGAGATGTGAAAGGGTGGGGACAAAACAGTGGGCAGAGAGATGGAAAGCAGATTGAAAGCTTGCCTGACTTGTTTTTCTTTCCTATTTGCCTATAACACAAACTGAAAGTGCTTCCAAATTTACTTCTGGTGCAATTGAGGAGAAATGCCATGTACTGTATTAAGAAAAAAAAAATATTTTTTATTCAACCATGCAACAGGTTACTGTAAAAAAAAAAAAAAAAAGTCATTTTTAAAACTTCCATAATGCACAATAGCTTTGGCCATTGTTTTTCATTGCAAACCAGACCTAACAAATGGTAAGCAGTCATCCTTGGAAAATGCTGCGGCACTTTTTCAGCTGTTTACAGTGCAAGTTCCTTGTGTTTCATTCGTTCCACGAATGAGAAAAGCAGAGCAAAGGATGCTCTCACCGTTTGCAAAGTGCTATGAAATGGCCAGATGAGCAGTGCAGAGCGTTGCTGCAACAAGGGACTTCTCATCCAACGTGTGTCATGGTTCAGTGTGCTTCTTGCTTGTGAAGAGGTCTGTTTGCGAGGCATTACAAACTGTTTATGGCTAACCCAAGGTAGCTTTTCACCCTGGAGCGGATTACTGTGCCTCTGCACTTAAATGATCTTATTTTTGTATTCACTTAATAAACGGGGCCCCGGAAGGGCATATCTTGTTGCATTTTTGTTTTCATTCCTGTCCCTGCCAGTTTGGAAGCAAGCAAGTGGGCTTTTGGGGCTTAAGCAAATTAGCTGTACTTCGGTATTCCCAGTGTGGAAGTAGGGACATGTCACAGAAGATGCTGGTTATCTTCCGGCGCGCTGCTTCTGTAATTTCGGAGCAGTATGCTGCCAGTCTCCCAGGAATGCAGACCCATTCACTGCTTATTCGCTTTCATGCACAGAGCATCGGGCTCTGTTTTGGGTTTTGTTTTACATTAAGGACCAGCTCCGAGTTGTTTGTAATTTGGAAACCTTATTGCACATGCGGTTGCAGCTCAGCTCTGATGATCCGTGGCTGAGAGAGTGAGTAGAAAACACTTGATTTTTAGCAAGTATCCTTCAGTGATTAATGCATCTTATTTGAATGACACATGCCAATAGCAAAATGCTGGATCAAGGTGCATTTTTTTTTTTGACCAGATTGATAACGTGTCTCTCACTTCGAATTACTTTTCTATGAAATACTTTAGTCTTGCTTGCATGTAATCTTGAGGCTGATAATAACAAACCTCAGAATTTGTGCTGTTGAGTTTTGGTTTGGTTATTTATCCAAAATCTTTGGCTGTTTAGAATTTGGAGGGAGTCTTTACCCTGGAAGGGGTTACTTTGTAGACTTCATGTTTGTTATCAAGCTGAAAGTGCTATGAAAACAGCAGCAGGAGAGGCAAGGGGTTGCTTGAAAGAAATGGGTGGGAGGTAGTTTCCTGAATCCTGTCTTCAACATTCCAATACAAACTTTGAGGGCAAAATTTCAGCAAGGAGAGTATATTAAGGAAAGGAAAGAGACAGCTTTGGAAGATGACTTGGTCTTCAGTGTCAGGTTGCATTTTGCAGTGTTTTCACATGTACCACATCTGCATGCCGGTAGGTCAGAGCATCTATCGGGGTAATAGGATAGTGTGGTTTTGGGAGTCTCCCTCCTTGGAAGGCTTGAAATATAACCCACAAAATTCACATGATGTTTCCTGCAGGGGGAAAAAAAAGTTTGAGGGACTGAATTTTACTGTATTTCAAGGTTGTTTTTAATTGATTTCTCAGCAGAAGGGAACTGAACCCTGATTTCTGCCATCTTCCAGGAGCCACCCGTGTGCAGTATCTATGCAGCAAGGTGCTGGGAACATGCCCCAGCATAACTGGGGAGTTGCACCCCGTTGATGCTTGGGACTGTTTGCCTCTCAGTGCAACTCTTCTGAGCTGTTAGCAGATGTCAGGCAGATGCTGCTCTACAACCCCACAGTCCAGACAATTATCTTTACATAGGGATCTCAGGCTTCACCTTAATTGCAGGTGAGTCATGAACCACAGACCTGTGGTCTTCAAGCTGTACTCCAGATACTGAGATAAGAGCTGTCTCCTGGGCTCCCCAATGTCTCCCAAGTAAGGAGATGGGTGTTACCTCAGAGTCCTCTCACTTCTTTTTCTCTCCATTTAGGCATTTCACATAAATACTTGCATTTCGAAAGGGTGAATCCAGGCAATAGTACTCTTCTTTGTAATTTATTCCTTGCCCATATAAGTGAATTTCTGTCTTGGAAGTGCCTTGCAGCATAAAGGGTCAATGTCGCAGCTGTTCTCATAGTGCTCTGCAGTGTGTGTGTGTGTGTGTGTGTATGTGTGTGTATATATATATATATATATATATAAATAATTATATTTTTAAGATGCCTGAGCTGTTTCCACAAAGGCAGACCATGATCATCAGACTTGTAATTGCTCATCCTGGAAATGGAGAAATTGCTGGATGAACATTGCACTACCTGTGGCCTTGTTTCTTTTGGTCTCTCATACACCCAAAGTTGGACACCAGATTCCGTGGAGTGGAAGCTTGTGAAGTTGCATTGATTTTTATTCTCTTCTTTGAAGAGATATGAGACTCCTGTACTGATTTCTTGGAGGGAGTAGGAAGTGAGGGGAGAGGAAGAGGGCATTACTTAAACAAAACTCTGGAAGAGTTTTCTTTTCTAAAACCAGATACTTTCCAAGTTGGGTTTATTAAAAACAAATAAAACTCTGGGGCTGATTTAAGTGGATATGATATAATTACAAGAGTTGGAATTAGGTTACAACTCTACTGGCAAGAATCTTAGGGAGTTTCTCATGGACACAGTGAGAGTACTACAACTACATCACGGCTGAAAGAAACCACAACCGTAAAAACCCTTGTGGCTTCTTAACAGGTTCTTACAGGAAGGTGAGTACTCATCAGAAGCTTGTTGCAGTTCCCATAGCCCTGGTATGTTTACATCCAGGTCTCCTCTTCAGATACTGGCACAGCCTGTCTTTTTTGTTCTTATTTGAGTTGCTGTACTTCCAGCTGTGGATTAGTTTCTCAGCAGAAACTGAGCTTTTTAGTGTAAGGCTGAGCACCAGAGCAAGTCTTGCCTCAGTGCATTTCTGCACACAAGGTAGAGATCTTTGTGCTTACCATAGAATCATAGAATGGTTTGGATTGGAAGGGACTTTTAAAGGTTGCCCAGTCCAATCCCCCGGCAATGAGCAGGGACATCTTCAACTCGATCAGGTTGCTCAGAGCCCTGTCCAACCTGACCTTGAATGTTTCCAGGGGTGGGGCATCTACCACCTCTCTGGGCAACCTCTTCCAGTATTTCATACCCCCTGATTGTAAAAAATTTCTTCCTTGTATCTAGTCTGGATCTACCCTCTTTTATTTTAAAACCATTACCCCTTGTCCTATCACAATGGTGCTCAAAATGCAGTGCCAGCTAGAGAAATGTCAAGTAGGTTTTTCTTTGCATCCCAATGGTTTTGTCTCATAGTAGCTCAGTTTAGGCATTAAAAAATAAAAATGCGAGGCTGGAGCCCAGCCTCTGAACATCAAGGTGTGTTTTCTGGCTTGTACATTGAAACCCAGTTGTAAAGATTTGGTGGCTTTGCTGGTTCTGTTTTGCACCTAGCTATTCCTGAGCAGTGGGACTGTGGAAGGTGGATTGCATGTGCAGTCCTCTAAAGGGTTCCTCTGTAGCAGTGGCTTGACATGCAAGTGCAAAGCAATTAGGATTTCTTCCCTTCTGGCTCTTTTTGTCACCAGTAGCAAACATTCACTTGGTTGTTTCTACCTCCAAACCATTGTTTCTGTTTGGGCGAAAGCCAGCCTCCTCCATTCTAGGCTTCGCTTGATTTGCTTTTGAGGGCGCAAATGGTGGCAAATCTATTGTGTTTCATGGTGCAGTGCTGCAATAGTTAATAGCGAGTATGTTAGATGAGGAAATGCAACACCTTTGAATGTTTGCTTGCAGAATTCACCATTTAACAATAGATGGGGTCCTACCAAGTTATCTACAAGACATCTGCCAAGCGACTGCCAAAACCAACATTCTGCTGCTGTGAAGCGTAGCATATGTGATGCATGTTGGATTTCAACCTGTTGCATGGCCTCTTTCTCAATAAAACACAGGAACATCCTGGAATTAAATTTAGATTAAATTAATTCTAAACACCACCTCCCTCTCATTTAATTGCCTGTATTGAAAGCATGTTGTTCTAGGCAGCGGAGAAGAAAGGAAATAATGGAATGTTAAAATATTTAAAAGAAAATAAGAATTCAGAATTTGAGTTTGCAATATGCCATGTGGTGTCCAGAGAATTGGACAGAACTCTTAAGCATGACCTTTAAAACAGCTAATGCATGTAGTCAGAAAACACCCAGGGAGCTCTGAAAACAGAGGTATCGTGGAGTTGGTTTCTCTGGATTTGTCCGGTGGCTGCTCATTTCTGGCATCAAAAAAGGGAAACCTGAGCCATGCCCTCCTGAAGCATTTCTAAGGGCTTTTTCCACTGTGGGTTCTCCGATATGCCAGAAAGGCAAGTTCATGTTGCGTCATCTCCCCTGACCAGGGCAACTCCAGTTGTCTCCTGTCCGTGGCCTCTAAGTCTCATGAAACATAATTATCTTTGTTATGCATGGCTGAAGTTGGCCCGTGGGTTCAAAAGCAAATGCTTTCATCTTTGCACAAAGTATGGGCTTGTAAATTTGTGCTTTTCTCGAAGAAACTGGGCTAAACAGCAAAGCCTAAAGCTGCAATGATTCCTACCTGCTCGGAGGCCTAAGTAGTTCAGGGTTAGGGCTCTGCTTTGACTTTTTGGTCTTGCTGGATAGCTAGTTTTTGTGGGCAAAGCCGGTCTTTGCTTTACAGCATTTTGGGTCGACTTCCTTGTAGTTGCCTGTCCTTGGACCTTGACCTTGGACCTTGTCTTTCTGTGCTGCTGCTAGGCTGGCTGATCTATTTGAGCAGTCCTGCCTTGGCTGAGAGATACCAGCAGGTTGTGCTGCGAGGCAGCGCTTCTGGAGCTTGCCTTTTCAGCCTCCCTCTGGCTGGGAAACTCCAAAGAGTTGGGGAAAAAAAAGTCTCTGCCTGGTCTGGGGCTTCCTGGTTAGTCCTGGGTGATGTTCAACTTGTGCCTTGGCTGGAGT